CCCACCCTGGGCCCTGCAGGAACAGGGGTTGGAGGTGAAACTGGGGGCAGTGGGAGCAGGGGGAGCAGAAGGGATTTTCCCCCTCAGACGGGGGCAGCCCTGGGCTGGGAGGGCTGGGGACCCCCGTGTCCCTCCCCCAGCCCCACAGGGGCCAATCCTGCTTAAACCTTTGCTCTCCTTGCCCAGGCACTCTTGGCAGGAACCCAAAATGATCTGCGGGAGGTGAGTGGGCCGGGGGGACTGGAGGGCATCCAGTCTGGGAACTGGGGGACACTTTGGTCCCCCCATCCCTCGCTGGCACCGGGGACATCCCAGTGACCAGCCAGGGCTCCTGGGCTCTCTCCAGCTGCATTTAGTGGACGTTGGGATCCTGAAGATGGCTCAGGTGGGTACCAGGAGTTCTGCCTGAGTTGGGTCCTCCCCTCACATGGCCATGACACTTCTGGCCATCCCAGTCTGCCCCAGTATACCCCAGTGCACCTTCCCCAAGGATCCCATTTCTTCCCCCAGGCTCCCAATACATCCCACTGCACCCAGGGTGTCCCTAACCCTGCCTTTGTCCCCAGCCCCCTGTGGTTGAGAAGGTGGTGGGTCCTGTTGGTGAGAAAGGCGTGGCTGCATCCCTGGATGGCTGAGGTGAGCAGTGCCTGCAGGGAGAGGGGTCAGGACAAGGCCCCTCTCATGTTGCAGTGGACTTTGGGGGTGACGTTTGGGGCTCTGTCTTTCAGGACTGGTGGTGACACCCGTGCCCTGTCCCCCTCCAGTGGCATGAGGAGATGATCATCCCCGGAAGAACCCCCTGATTTCCCTCAGAGCCCAGGGGCATTTCCCCAGAATGATCAATAAATCCCTTCAGCAAAGCTACTCTGCTTGATCTTGTGTGTGTGTTCCCATCTCCATGGGTGTGTTCCCATCTCCATGGGTGTGTTCCCATCTCCATGGGTGTGTTCCCATAGAATCACCACTTCCCTGGGCAGCCCATTCCAATGGCTGATTACCCTCTTTGTAAAGAAATTCTTTCTAGTATCCAACCTAAACCTCCCCTGGCACAGCTTAAGACCCAGCCCTCTTGTCTTGCTGATGGTTGCCTGGGAAAAGAGACCAACCTCCACCTGGCTACAACCTCCTGTCAGGGAGTTGTAGAGAGTGAGGAGGTCTCCCCTGAGCCTCCTCTTCTCCAGGCTGAACAGCCCCAGCTCCCTCAGCCTCTCCTCACAGGACTCGTGCTTGAGTCCCTATCCCAGCCTTGTTGCTCTCCTCTGGACCTGCTCCAGGACCTCAATGTCCTTCCTGATCTGAGGAGCCCAGAACTGGACACAGCACTCCAGGGGTGGCCTCACCAGCACTGAGTCCAGGGGAAGAATCACTTCCTTGGACCTGCTGGCCACGCTGTTCTTGAGCCAGGCCAGGATGCCATTGGCCTTCTTGGCCACCTGGGCACACTCTGGCTCCAGTTCAGCTTCCTGTCAATCCAAACCTCCAGGTCCCTTCCTGCCTGGCTGCTCTCCAGCCACTCTGTCCCCAGCCCAGGGGGCTGCAGGGGGTTGTTGTGGCCAAAGGGCAGGACCCGGCCCTTGGCCTGGTTGAACCTCATCCCGTTGGAATCAGCCCAACTCCCCAACCTATCCAGGTCCCTCTGCAGAGCCCTCCTGCCTTCCAGCTGATCGACACTCCCCCCCAGCTTGGTGTCATCTGCAAACTTGCTGATGATGGACTCAATCCCCTCATCTCATCATGGCCAGTCTTCACAAATGAAGATTTGGGAAAGGTCTCCACCCACATTTGTTACAAGCACACTGGTGATACAGGGCTTTGCAAATGCGGGTAAGGCCTTCGAGCCTGCGCAATGGATATTTTAGGTGAGACACAGTGTGCGCTGAACTGAGCCCACCCTTTCATCCTGAGGTTCATCTGCCGGGACCGAGCGAGCTTGGACGGTGGCAGCGAGGTCCTGAGGACGTAGGTTTGTTTAGAGTGACCTTCTCTTAGATGGATGACCAGGTCGAGAGCAAAACGGCCTCAGAGCTTTTTCCAACACACACCCCCCTTGCCTCCGTTAAGGCAGAAAGTGAAGTGCCACTTTCCAAGGAGAGGAGGGGAGAAAAAAACCCCTCACGCCCCCCCCCCAGCCCCAGAGGGAGCTGTCAGGCTGGAATGTAGTTCTGCCAGCCAGCTCCTTTGGGTAGGTAATCACCCAAGGCAGAAAACTGTCCTCCCCATTCAACATCCCTCCCCCACAGGCAGCAGGGGAAAGAAAATTCCCGTTCAGTTTTTTAGAACAAGTAAACCCGTGACACTGGGGAACAAATCCCCCAGTGTATTTCCCCCATCTCTACACTGTCAACTCCTTTGAACACCAGGCTGGGCAGGGATTCTTACTGTCATTGGATCTCTGTGAACACAAACAGAGCTGTCCTTGGGGGCTGAATGACTGCAAGGCTCATAAGTGAACACAGCAGTGAGGACTTGTGCTCCACATCCCAGCAGCTGTGCCACAGGGAACTGTGTTACTGGTAAATTTCCTTGAATCTGGCGCAGTGCTACAGCAGAGCCCATTCATCCTGGGTTTGATCCTACTAATCGTCCTACTAACCATCATCCTGGGTTTGCACCTAACAATTTTCTTCTCATCGAAACCCCCTTTCCATACTTGTTGGGTTTAACAGCCTTTGCAACACCTTGCAAAGTACAGTGACACAAAAGAGCTGGTTAATATTCAAGGATCACTTCTATCGAGCTCAAGAGAGTTTCATCCTAAAAAGCAGAAAGTCAGGCAAAAATTCCAGGAGGTCTGCATGGATGGCTTGACAAGGAGCTTCTTGTTCAAACACAAAAAGGAAGCTTACAGAGAGTGGACGCAAAGAAAGAAAACAGAAATGTTATCTGGGCATGCAGGGGTGAAGTTGGTAAAGCCAAAGCCCAAATGGAACTGAATCAGGCCAGTGATGTCAGAGACAACAGGAAGGACTTCTTTAAGTCTGTAGGTGACAAAAGGAAAAGCAGGGAAAATGTGGGCCTATCTCTCAACAAGATGGGGCAGCTTGTTCCACAGGACAGGAAAAAAGCAGAAATACTGAATGTCTTCTTTGCCTATGTCTTTCCTGGCTTTTCCTAACCTTCAGGGATCAGGACAACTGTCTCTAGGAAACCCTGTTCCAGAACAGGCCTTGGACTAGAGCACCTTAGTCCTTCCGTGATTCTGTGCAGAGGGTGAGCAGTGGCCACCAGCAGAGCAGGGCCATACCCACAGTGCAGCCTGTGCCAAAGCACACACAGCATAGAGGGGCTCCTCCGCCAGAACCAACGGCAGTCGCCATCAAGACTCCAGGATGTGTCCTCGTTTTCTTCTGTTCCCCCTGCTGGCTTTGCTTCTCCCATTCCCCCATCCCAAGGTTGTCCCCTCTTCTTCCCTCTGCTTGCCTCTGGGACAGGTGGGGACCTGTCCAACTTTGGCAGAAAGGGCACGGCTGCCACAACTGTCCCGACATTTGAGGAGAACTGCTGCGTTTGGTGACAGAATTGGAGCTCTTTGGGCCTAGGTGGGAGGGATGAGGAGAGTCATATTTTTGAAGGCGTCTTAAGGCTTTCTTCCTGGGCCGGGAGTTAAGACTTCTCTCTCTGCCCTTGCTCTGAGTGCATATGAGTCTGGCAGACATCTTCAAGGCTGAAAGAGAAGCCAGGCCTGAAGGCCGAGCCAGAGCTGTCCTCTGCTCCCTTCAGCTCTGCTCACAGCTGCATCTTCAGCCTGTCCCAGAGGCCAGGCAAATGTGTGCCTTTCCTCCGGGAAGGCTTGAAGCACAGTGGTGTTAAGATCATGGCCTCCAGGTGAGCTATTGCTACTACTCAGTTGCCAGACTCTTGCAGTGCTTTCGAGCCCTCCTCTTTGTGTTCTGGGCAGAAGATAGTGGGTGAGCTCCTGGTAACCCTAAAACACAGGCAAATCCCTGATCCTGTGGGAAGCAGACTGGTTTGTAGCCTGCAGAAAAAAAGGGAAATTTCTTCAGCCTGTTTGTGGTCCATTGTAGTGTCCCTCTGCTGAGAAAGCTGGTGCAGAACCTCTGATCTTTCAGTTGGTGTTGTCATCGAGACAAAGTGGGACAAGATGTGTTTGAAAGTTTCTTCCTGCCCTGCTGTGTGCTGCCCGTTGGCTGGTGGAGCAGCAGAGCAGAAATTCACTGTTGGCATCTGGCAAAGCAGCAGGAGAGAGCAGTTGTGAGGGGAAGGGGGGTGAGGTGTCTGCTCTTCAAGAGGGACAAGACAAAGGAGTTGGGGAATTGTCCTGGAACTCTGGCCTGGCGGGCTTGGAGCGCTGGGTGGGCATTTCTTGAGAGCTGTGGTGGCCCCACTTCGTCCTGAGCCTCATTTGATGGCAGTGTGTCCAGAGGCAGCCCGGCTCCAGGCTGAAGCAAAAAGCCAGAGCGGGTGATGCGGGAGCTGCTCCAGCGCCTACCGCAGCCTGCGGCCCGGTGGGAGCGTCCCGGGCCCTGCCCTGGGCGCCCTGAGGCGGGGCAGTGCCCACTCCCGCCGGCCGCCCTCACAAGGCCCAGGCCGCCTCCTTCCCACAAGGCCCAGCAGGGCCGCCCTCACACCTGCCCCGCCCTGCCCTGTCCCGCCCGGCCCCACCCTGCCCCGTGGCCTCTGTCACACCCCACGCTGACGTGCTGAGCCTTCCACCAGCCATTGTGACGCCACAGGCGCCAGTCGGGCACGGCTTTGTTGGTGCCCGCAGCCGGCGCTCAGAGCTGCTGGAGCCTCTCGGGGAGCAGCAGCACATCCCGCTCGGGGAGCATTGCGCGCCTGCATCGCCATCTTGGCAGCTGCAGGCCACGACCACTGCGCAGGGCGACCTCGTCTGCCTTGTGCTTCATACCCTGTGCCCGTCCTTATTCTCGTCCCCTTTGTTACCCTCCCCCTAAACCTCGCCCCGTCCCATTCCTCATCCCCACTTGGCTCCCGGCAGCCCGCCGGGGCCTTCTTGCCCTTCCTGCTGCTGGGAGCTCCAAGCAGGGCCATGCCGTGGCTTCTGAGCAAGAAGCGACGGCAGTCGCCCTCCAGCAGCCCCAGTGGGCAGCCCTGGGCTGCCACCAGCTCCAGCAGCGCCTCCCAGCTCCGGGAGCAGGGGCTGGGCAGGCTGCACCGCGCGGCCGCCCGCGGTGACCTGGGCTGGCTGAGGCGCTGGCGCTGGTACGTCAAGGTAGTCGGCATCGACAGGCCAGACCAGGAGATGCGGTGAGTTCTGGGCCACGCTGATGGCACACCTTGGCTGCTCCTGAGCCAAGCTGCAGTAGTCCTCGGCAGCCCTCTCTTAGGGACAAGGCTTGAAAAGTGACATTTGCCCTGTCAGCTGGGACAGGGAACTCTTGAGCTTTTCACTGCTCGGAGCTGCCGGCCGGGCTCCAGCGCTGTTGCAAACGCGTCTTGCCCACCTGCCCCTTGGCCGTGCTCTCTCTGCAGGGCTGTTCTGCAGCTGCTCAGCCCTCACTTGTTCTCTTCTGCCCTCTGGTTCATCAGGGCAGGGTTGCAGCAGCAGCAGCAGCAGCAGCAGCAGCAGCAGGAGGAGCAGAGTCCAGGCAGGGTCCCCAGGGTGCTGGGTACAGACACAGCTTGGGCTCGTCCTTTGTCTGTCTGGGTTAAGAGCGTCCGTTTAATTTTTAGGACACCTCTGCATCTGGCTTCAGCCAATGGCCATGCAGATGTCGTCAGATATCTGCTAAGAAAGAACAGCCAGCCCAACCTCGCTGACAGCTTCAAGAGAACGGCCCTGATGAAGGTGTGTGCAATGCCTTCTGAGCTTGGAGGTGGGGCTCAGTGCTGGGGTGTTAAAGGGGAGGTGTCTGGCAGGATTCCTTGCAGGGCAGGGCCATAGAAACACGCCTATTGCAATGGGCAGGGCACAGCCTCTGTTAGCTGATCTTTGCAGATGGTCTTCTATGGCAGCACTCAGGAACTGAGGGAGTTGTGAGAGAGGGGGATGGAAAAGTTGGAAGCCTTTCCCTTTTGGTGTGTTGTTGCCAGGCAGTGCAGCAGGAGCAGGAAGAATGTGTTGCTGTTCTGCTGGAACACGGTGCCGACCCCAATCTGGCAGACGCTGACGGCAACACTGCCCTTCACCTGGCTGTGCTCTCTAAAAACACAGCTGTAGCAGGGCTGTTACTGGAGCATCATGCCAAGAGTGATGCTCAGAACCAGGTAACCTTGGCACGGGGCTAAAGCTGCTCTTTCCAAGAGCTGCAGAGCTTGTCTGTGTCTTTCTAATGGGGATTCTTTCTCCTTTTAGTGGGGATTTACCCCCTTGAAACTTGCAGCCTTGCAACAGCACGAGGAGATTCTGGAGTGCCTTGTGAACAAAGCAGCTGACAGGCCTGCTCAAGCCCAGGGGGAAAGGTGAGGGCTTTGTCAAAACAGCCCCCGGGTGTTCTGGGTAGTCTGCAAGTGTGACCCAGACGAGGGGCGTGGCAATGAGCTGGGCAAAAGAAGGAGCAGCCCCGTGGAAGCAGTTCCCCGTGGGACTGGTAAATGCAGGTCTGCCCTTGGCTGCTCTCGTACCTCAGGGGCTCTCGTCCTTTGCCCGCTGAGGTCTGCAAGAAAGCCTTGTCTGTGGTGCCCTCTCCCCACCCAGCGCCAGAGCCCCGGGGAAACTTGCCAGTAGCTCAGCAGCGTGGCTGCTCTGCAGGCCAGGGGGGTTTAAGGCACGGCAGAGTTGGGGCGTTCAGTGCTCTGAAGGGAAGCGTTGGGGGAAAGAGAAGCAACACTGTCCCAGGGGACACGAGGGGCTCCGAGCACAGAAGGAGAAAACTTCCTGCCATGGAGATGGTCAGGGGGTCGAAGGGCTTACCCTGGGAGTTTGTGCAGCCGCATGTGGGGGGACTTTGAAGAGCAGTGCAAGGAACCCTGAACAGCATGGCCTGAGCTGGTAGCTGAGGCTGCTTTAGGGAGGCCCCTTGTAAGAGAAATTCTCCAGTGCTTCCATGGACTTGGCTTTGCTTTCATGGAGCTTGTAGGAAAGGGGGGAAGAGCTGTTTTGGGAGCAAGCAGGGGAAAACTGATGCAGGGTCAGACACGTTTCTGATGAAATTTTGCATGCTTTAGGACTGCTCTTGTGGTTCCTGGAAGCCACGAAGCTCACCTGGAGGAAGATAATCTGCGCTTGCAGGAGGAGCTGGACAGGGCTGGCGCGGAGGTATGGAAAGCCTGTCCCCACAGGGAGAAACCTGGGGGTGCCTGTTGCTTCCTCTCCATCCTGAAAACGGACAAAACAGTGTTCAGTGTGTTCATTGGGGAGTAGAAGTGAAGCTTTGAAGGGACTTGAATGGATTTCAGTTCTTTGGGCAGAGGGGATGCACACAGACATGCAGCACCTGAGTTCTTCAGCAGCAGCTGGCTCCTCTCTGGAAAAGCTCCCCTGACAACTGTGGATTCTTCCCGTGGTTTTACAGCTGCAGGAGGAGGAAGAAAAGCATCTTCAGTCTGAGCATTGTGTTCCTGACTTGAAGACTGCTTTGGATGCCAAGAAAAGAGAGGCAGTAACTTCTTCCCTGGAACTGCAGGACCTCCTGTTGGCATCTTGTGAGACCAATCCAACTGTGAACCAACTGGAAGAAGACGCGCAAGAGTAAGAGAGGAACCCAGTGAAGCGAGGGGTCTGTGGCTTTGGGGATTGGGTGGAAACAGGGGGAGAGTCAGTGGGATTTTGAAGGACACTTCTGCTGTGGCTTCTGTTCCTTAGCACAGTTTGTCTGGCATTGGCTTTTCTGGTAATAAGAGCTGTATTTCTTCTTAAGCTTTGCAAGTGAGAACAGCAGATTGGAAGGCACTGTCCAGCAGCCAAGCGAGAGCGTTGGAGCCCTTCCGAGAGCCCTGCAAGCCTCTGCCTCAGTAAGCTGGTGCTAAATTTGCCTTTTTGTGACTCTTGAGCCTAGTTGCCTATTTCTGTGGGGCAACTGTCAGATGAAGTTTTCCTGCAGAGCCTGGGGAGCTCAGTTTCTGCCTTCTCCTCAGCAGAGGCTGCTCAGAAAGCAGCCTGGTCCTTTCCCCAGCTGCTACAAAAGCCCTGAGGGTATTTGGTGTGCTGGACACTGGAGGAATTCTTAGATTCTAAATGAGGAGTTTCATCATGAGCTCCAAGGGACCCAGAAGTATTGTTGCCAGAAGTGTCTCCCAAATTCTTAAGTAGGTGTAAAGTTTCTTCTTTCTGTTGGGGAATCTTTCAGGTGTTTCCTAGGCTGGTTTCCAGTAGATGATAAATACAGTTGCCATGGCCACCCCCTTGAGAGGTTTTCCCAGAATTCACTGCCTTTAGATCACGCTGAGTTTCCTTTTCTTTTATTTCTCTGTGCACAGGGTGGTGAACTTTCCCAGCAGCTGGACATGGAGCCTGGAACAGGCATGCAGCTCGAGGCCCTAAACCAGGCTGTGCAAGAAGAGCTGTCCACTCTGCTTGGGAGGTGTGAACAACTGGAGAAGAGCAAATGTCAGCTGCAAGAAGAGGTGACAAAACACCACCATCATTTGGAGACTTTGGTGCTGGATGGCAGCCAAAGAGAACAATGTACAAGAGAGGTGGCAGAAGGAGCTGACCAGGAAAGAAGTCCAAAGCTACAAGAGGTCAGCCTCGTTTTGCAAGTAAGTGAATTTCTCCCCAGTGTCCACAGGCTCTTCATTAGGAGCTTTGAAGCAGAGTACTCATTTGGGCTTCTTTCCCAATGCAAAGAATTGTTTGCCCTGGTAGCTCCTGGGTTCTGCCTTGGTTGCTGCTGGGAGTGAGGAGGCAGAGCCGCCTCTCTGAGTCAGGCTGGGCCCTTGAAAGTGGGTGTGTGCAATTTTGTGCTGGGCAGAGCTCTCTTTTTCTTGTGGTGGTTGAAGGTGCACTGTCTCCTTCAGGCACAGGCAGCCCACCAGGCCCCACTAGGACAAACCAGAGACCATCATTGTGATTCCGTGAGAATCCAGTTGGAAGAAAGAATTAGAAATCTGGAAAGTGAATTGGAGAGGGTCAAAAACACCCAACAAGAGAGAGCTTCTCGTAAAGAAGCAACACAGGGAGGGATGGAAATGTACAAAGAGCTGTATGTGGAGGAAGTGAAAACCAGAAGATGCCTGGCCAAGAAACTGGAAAGGTAAGTCCTTGCTTGTTTGGAGTGGTAATAAGAGAGTCCTTTTTCTTCCTGCATTTTCCTTGGAAATCCATCTTCTCCATCTGGCCAGCATTATTGCCCTCCATTGGCCAACAGGGTCTGATGGAGTTGCCAAGACCCTCTCCTTGATATTTGAAAAGTCGTGGCAGTCAGGGGAAGTCCCAGGTGAGGGGAAAAAGGGAAACCCACTGTGCCCATCTTTGGAAGGGGTAGAAAGGAGGGCCCTGGGAACTGCCAAGGTGTCAGCCTGCCCTCTGTGCCTGGGGAGGTGATGGAAAAGATCCTTCTAGAAGCTCTGTCAAGGCACATGGATGACAGGGAGGTGATTGGAAGCACCAGCACAGCTTCGCCAAGGGCAAGTGCTGCTTGACCAACCTGGTGGCCTTCTAAGATGGAGTGACTGCCTCAGTGGACAAGGGCTACCCATGTCATCTCCCTGTCATTCTGGGAAGCCTTTGACACAGTCCCCCACAACATCCTTCTCTCCAAAGTGGAGAGAGATGGATTGGATGCGTGGACTGTTAGATGGATAAGAAATTAGGTGAACAGTCCCATGCAGAGGTGGTGATCAATGGCTCAGAGTGCTGAGGGCCATCAGTGCCGAGTGGTGTCCCTGAGGGGTCTGGATTGGGCCCAGTGTTCTTTAATCTCTTCACTAATGATCCAGAGGAAGGGCTGGAGTGCGCCCTCAGCAAATTTGCAGCTGACACCAAGCTGAGGGGTGTGGTTGACACAGCTGATGCCACCCAGAGGGCCCTGGACCAGCTGGAGAAGTGGGCCCATGGCAATCTGCTGATGGTTTAACCAGAGCCAGTGCAAGCTGCTGGCCGTGGCTCAGGGCAGCCCCTGTATCAGTGCAGGCTGGGGGATGAAGAGGGGCAGAGCAGCCCTGCCAAGAAGCCCTTGGGCTGGAGGAGAGGCCGGACATGAGCCGGCGATGTGCGCTCGCAGCCCAGAGAGCCAATTGTGTCCTGGGCTGCGTCCAAGGCAGCGTGGCCAGCGGGTGGAGGGAGGGCATTCTGCCTCTCTGCTCTGCCCTTGGGAGAGCCCAGCTGGAGGGCTGCATCCAGCTCTGGGCTCCTCAGCACAGCAAGGACCTCCAGCTGTTGGACTGAGTCCAGAGGAGGCCACCAAGGTGCTTGGAAAGATGGAGCACCTCTGCTAGGAGGAAAGGCTGGGACAATTGCAACCCTTCAGCCTGGAAAAGAGGAGGCCTTGGGGTGACCTAATTGTGGCCTTTTGGGGTGTGAAGGGAGCCCACAAGAAGGATGAAGAGAATGCATTTAAAAGAGCAGGTAGTGAGAGGACAAGGGGGAATGGCTTCAAACGGAAAGAGAATAGGTTTAGATTTGATCCTCGGAAGAAATTGGTTGCTGTGAGGGTGGTGAGGAACTGCAACAGGTTGCCCAGAGAAGCTGTGGATGCCCCATGGCTGGAAGTGTTCAAGGCCAGGTTGGATGGGGTTGTGAACAAGCTGGTCTGGTGGAAGGTGTCCCTGCCCACAGCAGGAGGCTTGGAACTGGATGATCTTTAAGGTCCCTGCCAAGCCAAGCCATTCTAGGCTTGGATGCTGTCTGTGCTGTTTCTGTGAGACTGTGGGGGAAAGGCTGGTTCTTCCTGTGTTTCATGGTTTTCTTCACTAATTTGCTGTGCAGGCTGGAAAAGCTTCTGAGGATAGAGAGCAGGAAACTCCGGGTTAATGAAGAGAAAGGAAGTCAGTCCCAGCTGGAAGAAATGAAGAAGAGATATTCTGAAAAGGTCAAGGAAGTTGATAGATTCCAAAGAGAGGTGAGCTGCGCTCTGGGTGGGGCTCTTTGGTTGTGGTGTTCCTTCTTTTGAAAGCAGGGAGATGCTTTCCCTCTATTTCCTATCATGTGGATGTTTTTACTCCCTTGTCTGCATTTTGGATGTGATGGGCTTTTCTTAATGCTCCTCCTGCTGTTCCAGTGGGAGATGACTCGAACTAATCCGGGGTAGTTCTCCTTCTGGGGAAAGATGCAAATGTTGAGGGCAAAGCAGTAGGTGTAAGGGCATCCCTGTAGAATGGCTTCCTGCCTTTGCAGTGATTCCTTTGGAGTCCAGAAGCTTGGAGCATTTTTGCATGAGGAACTCCAAAAGGATGGGAAGCTGAGGAATCCCGTGAAAAATGATGGGAAAGCTGTTCTTGCTGGAAAAGAAAAGCCTGGTTGCACTTTGTGTCTAGTCCTGAGCCAGCAGATGATGAATAAAGTCTCCCTGGTCACCCCCTTTTGAGGTTTTCCAGGAATTCACTGCCTTTACACCACGCTGAGTTCCTTTTTTGTTCTTTCTGTCTGCAGGTTGCTGAACTTTCCCAGCAGTTGGACAAGGAACGTGAACAGTGCACGCAGCTGGAGGCCAAAAATCAGGCTTTGCAAGAAGAGCTGTCTGCCCTGCGTGGGGAGTGCGAGAACCTGGCCCTGGACAAATGCCAGCTGCAAGAAGAGCTGGCAAAACTCCACCATCATTTGGAGACCAACGTGGTGGATCGCAGCCAACTCGAACAGTGTAAAAGAGAGGTGGAAGAACGAGCAGACCAGGAAATAAGACAAAAACTCCAAGAAGTCAATGAGTTTTTGCAAGTAAGTGAATTTCTCCCCAGTGTCCACAGGCACTTCCTAAACTTCTCTTGTGGCCATGGTGTTTGGTCTTTTTCTTTTGCTCCTGTGTTCTGTGGGTTAGCTTCTATCTTTGCTGAAGGCAGTGGCAGAAGGCAATCTGGTTGGGCAGGAGTGCTGTCATGGGTGTGGAATGTGCCGGCAGGTCCCTGAATGCAAAGGCTGCCCAAGGCAGATTCCCACTTTGCAGTGCTTGGGGGGATCTCTGTGCGCTGCTCTGCTTCTCACTGCTCATCCTTGGATGGGTTTGGCAACTTGCAGCTGTCATGGCCAGACCTACAGGTGCTGCTTTGTCCTTGGAGGGGGTGAAAGTGCTCAGAAAAGGAGTCACTGAAATTCCAGGGATAGGAGGGAGGGGGTGGAGGTGGATGTGGAAGCTCTTCTTGTCTTTGAAGAATCCTTTTGGACATGCCCTGTCCTACAGACCCAGTGTCTCTTCATTAGTAGCTTTGAAGCAGAGTGCTCATTTGGGCTTCTTTCCCACTGCAAAGAATTGTTTGCCCTGGCAGCTCCTGGGTTCTGCCTTGGTTGCTGCTGGGAGTGAGGAGGCAGAGCTGCCTCTCTGAGTCAGGCTGGGCCCTTGAAAGTGGGTGTGTGCAATTTTGTGCTGGGCAGAGCTCTCTTTTTCTTGTGGTGGTTGAAGGTGCACTGTCTCCTTCAGGCACAGGCAGCCCACCAGGACACCTTAGAAGAAATCAGAACCAGTCATGTGGACTCACTGAAAAAACAGTTAGAAGACAGAATTAGAGATCTGGAACGTGCACTGGGAAGGACAAAAAGCAACCAAGCAGAAAGACCTTTTCAAAAGGAATCCACCCAGGCAGAAGTGGACAAGTACAAAGAGCTGTATCTGGTGGAAGCCCAAAGAAGAAAAAGCCTCACCAAGAAACTGGAAAGGTAAGTCCCTGCTTTTTTGGACTGGTAAGAACAGACTCCTTTTTCCTCCTGCATTTTCCTTGGAAATCCCTTTTCTGCATCTGGCCAGCGTCAGGTGTGAAAGCAGAACGTGGCATCTTTGTGGGGAAAGTTCCTTCAGAGCCTTCCCTTCCTCAGACCTGTCTTCCTTTCTCTTTAGAGTTCCAGCAGTAACCCCACAGCAGCACCACTCTGGCATTATTGGTGTCTTTTCAAGTTGAGGTTGTTTTAGCAGGCAGTCTTTTTGCCAGTCTCAACTCTCCTCATCCTGTGGGTGACAGAGAAGATGAATCTTGTGCCCTTTCCTGTTTGAATAAGGAGAGGCCTCTGGGAGAAGAGAGTTGGATTCTGTGAATCCAAAATAAGGCGGCTCTTTCTTGGCTTCTGTTTTGGCAGCGGGTCTGAGGGTTGAGCGTTCCTTGAGAAGGTCAGGGTAGCCCAGAGTTCTTCTGGAGGTGCCACTGGCTGCTCCTTGCACTTGGTGTGATTTCTTAGAAACAGGCCCTGTGAACAAGCTCAGATCAAAGGATGTGCTGGGTTTGGACGCTCTTCATGCCCTTGGCTTTTAGAAGTCGAGTAGTAGCCAAGGCTGTGGAGGGTAACTTTGCGAAAGCCTTCCTGCCAAAGATGACTCTGTGTGTGCTTGTGAATGTTTCAGAGCTACTGAGAGACTTGCAGTGGCCAACACCAAGCTCTTTTTGGAGCGCCACAGAAGCAGATCTGCGGTCACAAGCAGCGCTGTCAGCGGACTTCTGGCTGCAAGTCCACTTCTGGATTCACCTGGCCTGGGACATGTTGGCATCAGTTTGGGACTGAGCAGAAGTCTGGCTCTCAGAACACCACCCAGACACCTGTGGTAAAGCCCAAGACTTCTGCTCATCAGGTTGGTACAGATTTTCCAGAGTGGTCAAAGGCCCAAAAAGGTTGAAATGGAAGCAATGAGCTGTGGAACTCCATTCTTTTCCAAGAGAAACTGTGGGCAAGAGCTCTGTGGCACAGGAACCTCCCACCTAAGTTCTACCCTAAATTTACACGTAGTAATCTTCTGTAGTCTGTGGGGTTTGGCAGGAAGCCAACTCCAACTGGCTACAGATGGTTTTGGTGTCAGAAGTGGGATTGTTTTGGTTCCTTTGGTTTTGTTGTGGGAACATTGTCTGGGAAAGCTGCCAAGAGCAGGTTTGTTTTGTCAACATCCACCATTGTTTTGGGACACTCCTGGGAGAGCTGCCAAGAAGGATTTTGTTTATCTAAACATAGCTTTGTTTAGGAAGAAGGAGAAAGAAAAATAATAACAATGGCCTTTTTACTAATTTTATTCCTGATTCTTGCTGTTTTTGTGCCTGTCCTAGGACATCCTGTAAGGGACCGTTCAGATGGATGGAACGAATTGCTTCCTTTCCTTAATTTCGACACCCACGGCCTAGTAGCCAGTTTCCTTAATGGTGGCCTTCAAGGTTTGGTAGCAAAGACTCCAAGATCAGCTCTAACCCATCCCTACATTGCTCAGTGACAATGATCCTTGTGGTGAAGGCAGCGAAACTGCTACTTAAAATTGGAGAGGTGGTGCTGCATTGGTCCCCTTGTTGTACGAAAGGAATCGCTGGAGCTTTGGGGACAAGAAGTGCCAACGGCCACGACAACTGTACACAGGCAACAGTATCGGAGGAACCGAGATGCTGTGACCCCCATCCATCCATCCAGTACATCCATGACATCATTGTGGGGGGGACACAGCAGAAGAAGTTTTCGAGAAAGGACAGAAGATCATCCAGATTCTCCTCGAGGCCTGTTTTGCCATCAAGAAGAGTAAGGTCAAGGGCCCTGCCCAAGAGATCCAGTTCCTAGGGCTGAAATGGCAAATGGACGACACCAGATACCAACAGACGTCCTCAACAAGATTGTAGCAATGGCTCCACCCACAAACAAGAAAGAAACCCAAGCTTTTCTGGGAGCCATTGGCTTCTGGAGGATGCACATCCCAGAGTACAGCCAGATGGTGAGCCCTCTTAACTTTGTGACCCGTAAAAAGAACAATTTCCAGTGGGGTCCTGAACAACAACAAGCTTTCAGGCAGATCAAGCAAGAGATTGCACATGCCGTGGCTCTTGGAGCAGTCAGGACAGGACCAGAGGTAAAGAATGTGCTCTACTCTGCAGCTGGAGATAAAGGTCCCTCCTGGAGCCTCTGGCCAAAGGTGCCTGGTGAGACGTGAGGGCGACCACTGGGTTTCTGGAGCCGAAGCCACAGAGGTTCTGAGGCCAATTCCACCCCTGAGGAGAAGGAAATCTTAGCAGCCTATGAAGGCATACGAGCAGCTGCAGAGGTAATTGGTCCCAAAGCACAGCTCTTCCTGGCACCCCAGATGGGACCCCAGCATGCAAAGTGTAACTGGATAAGGGAAAAAGGGGGTAGGGTTTATCCATTTTAGGGAAAGGGTGGCCAAAAAGGAAATACTGCAATGCAACAAACTTTGGCCAATCAGGGAGCGGGGTCTAAGGATACAGACATCAAGGGGATTTTTCATCAAACAATTTCAGGGGACAAACAAGGGAAAAACTACAGTAAATGTTTAGACACAACCGTAAAACTCGAAAGGCTTTGGGTCTGAACTTCTTGACAACTTCATCCAGGGCTTTCATCCTCTGGAGGGTCACACATTTCTTGTTGTCTTCTCCAGCTTTCAGATTCAGCAATGTCCTCACTCCCGACAGACCAGGGTCCCCTTTCCAGAGTAATGGAGGAGCACCGGGATTTTTTAATCCAAAATTCCCGGATTGGAATGAAATGCTCTGGAAAGGCTCTGGAAATCATTCGGTGTTCACAGTGAGTCTCTGGTTTCCCATCCCCTGCTTCAGATGTGAAAACATGTTCCTTGCAGTCGGAATGTAAACTCATCAGCTCCATTAAACTTGAGCACTATATCCCATCATCCAGATCATCAAGGAAGATGTTCACCAGGAATTGCTGATCACTGGCCTCCAGCTGGATGTTGCACTCCTGATCACCACCCCAGCCAGCAGATTTCAACCAGCCTGCTGTCTGCTCATCCAGCCCATACTTCATGGGCTTCTCTGTGAGGGAGCCCTGTCTGTGTCCACTAGTACACACATTCATTTGGATTTTAAACAATCAAACAGAAGTGAGAGTTTTAACAGCAGAATTATTTTTCAAAGGGAAATAGAAGGGTAAGAGTTTTTAATTTTAATGATCATGTTTTACATGGTACTAATTGACATCTAGTAGAAATGAGACAGCACCTTAAGAGACAAATCTACATTCTCTATTTATGCCCCTGAATTACAGGTATGGCTTTGATGGAACGAGTGCCTTCAAGCTCCATTGGCAGGCACTGTTTGAAAACTATTTGGGTGATTTTTGATAAGAAATGAAAGATGCAACAGCAGGAAGCCATTCAGCAATCCCTGACAAGGGAGGTCCACTGTCAATTGCTGGGAGGGCCCCCACCTGTTTCTTTTAATGGTGCTCCCAAATCCCACCCCTTGGGCCTCCCATCCCATCCCATCCTTTTTGGTCCCCTCAGGCATCTCCTCCCCAGCATCTGCTCTGTGTCCTACCCAGGGTCCCCAAACATCCTCCCATTAATCATTCCCAAAGCTTTTCTTTCCATCCTTCCCCTCAGACCTTTGCCTTTCATCCAGGTCACTGCCCTGGTACCTCCCAAGACCATTCCTTGCCTCCCTCTCCACTCCCAACCATCTCCCAGTGCCCTCGTTTTTGTCCTCCTCCATCATCCTCCTCCTGTCCCCACCAAGCCTCTCCCTTGCAGTGCCCATGTCCCTACACTTGAATTCCTTTCCCCTCCCCTGCATCCCACACAGGGCCCCTTCAACACCCCAATCCCAGTCCCGTGGGCTCCCCAGTTCCCCCCAGTTCAGCATCTTTGGGTCCCCTCCTACTCCCCCCACCGTCCCTGCAGGCCCTGAATTCCCCTGGCTCTCCTTGTCTCCATCCCCACCCTGGGCCCTGCAGGCCCAGGGGTTGGAGGTGAAACTGGGGGCAGTGGGAGCAGGGGGAGCAGAAGGGATTTTCCCCCTCAGACGGGGGCAGCCCTGGGCTGGGGGGGCTGGGGACCCCCGTGTCCCTCCCCCAGCCCCACAGGGACCAATCCTGCTTAAACCTTTGCTCTCCTTGCCCAGGCACTCTTGGCAGGAACCCAAAATGATCTGCGGGAGGTGAGTGGGCCGGGGGGACTGGAGGGCATCCAGTCTGGGAACTGGGGGACACTTTGGTCCCCCCATCCCTCGCTGGCACCGGGGACATCCCAGTGACCAGCCAGGGCTCCTGGTCTCTCTCCAGCTGCATTTAGTGGACGTTGGGATCCTGAAGATGGCTCAGGTGGGTACCAGGAGTTCTGCCTGAGTCGGGTCCTCCCCTCACATGGCCATGACACTTCTGGCCATCCCAGTCTGCCCCAGTATACCCCAGTGCACCTTCCCCAAGGATCCCATTTCTCCCCCCAGGCTCCCAATACATCCCACTGCACCCAGTGTGTCTCTGAGCCTGTGTTTGTCCCCAGCCCCCTGTGGTGGAGAAGGTGGTGGGTCCTGTTGGTGAGAAAGGCGTGGCTGCATCCCTGGATGGCTGAGGTGAGCAGTGCCTGCAGGGAGAGGGGTCAGGACAAGGCCCCTCTCATGTTGCAGTGGACTTTGGGGGTGACGTTTGGGGCTCTGTCTTTCAGGACTGGAAGTGGTGGTGACACCCGTGCCCTGTCCCCCTCCAGTGGCATGAGGAGATGATCATCCCCGGAAGAACCCCCTGATTTCCCTCAGAGCCCAGGGGCATTTCCCCAGAATGATCAATAAATCCCTTCAGCAAAGCTACTCTGCTTGATCTTGTGTGTGTGTTCCCATCTCCATGGGTGTGTTCCCATCTCCATGGGTGTGTTCCCATCTCCATGGGTGTGTTCCCAACTCCATGTGTGTGTTCCCATCTCCATGTGTGTTCCCATCTCCATGTGTGTTCCCATCTCCATGTGTGTGTTCCCAACTTCCTGTGTGTGTTCCCATCTCTCTGTGTGTGTTCCCATCTCCATGTGTGTGTTCCCATCTCCATGTGTGTTCCCATCTCCATGTGTGTGTTCCCATCTCCATGGGTGTGTTCCCATCTCCATGGGTGTGTTCCCATCTCCGTGCCTGCATTCCCGTGTCCCTTTCCCCTCCTTCTCCAGCCCCTGCACACCCGGTGCCTCTCTGGCCGTTCCCCTGCCATGAGCAGAGAGGCTCAGGGGGCTCCTGGGGGTCTCTGCACACGAGATCCCCTTCACCCCCTCCATGTGCATCCTGAGCAGTGCAGGTTGGGGCATCGTGGAATGTCCCTGCTGGGGGCTGGGACAGGCAGGGGGCACACGGGGCAGCCCCTGGAGCACCTGGACCTCCCCTGTGCTCTGGGAGGGATGGGAAAGGGGATCAAAGGAGCCAGCGGGTGTCAAATGCCCCCAGATCTCAAGGGCCAGGCTCGGGGCTGAAGGGATGGAGAGCAGCCCTGCATCCAAGGCCATGGGGATAGTGGGGGATGAAAAGCAGGATGGGAGCCAGCAATGGGAGCTCACAGCCCACAACCCCCCGTGTCCTGGGCTCATCCCACAGCGTGGGCAGCAGGGGAGGGGGGTTCTGCCCCTCTGCTCCGCTCAGCTGAGACCCCTCCTGCAGTGCTGCCTCCAGCTCTGGGGCTGCCTCAGGGTGTGGTTTTCTGTTGAGGAGGAAAAGGCAGGACTGAGTCAGGTCAGACTCTATTGGCAAAACGTGTCTCTTTTTAGGAAGACCTCTCTGCATCCTCCTCCCCTGAGCTCTGGGTTTTGCTGGCTGATGGGGGCTTTGAGAGCAGGGACCCTGTGACAGGCTCCCGAGGAATCCTCCTTGCTGTGAGAGGCAACTCGGAACACGGGGTGATCCGAGATTAAATGTGCCTGTGACACATCAAAGCGTTTCCAGCCCTGCTGTTCACAGTTTGCCCAACTGCAGAGCAGAGCTGAGGGGATTTGCTGTGGTTTTGTTACAGTTTCACTTGGCACATTTAGAAGTAAATTTGGATGGCTGAAATCCCTGACATTTCTGATGTTCTCCAAGTGAAATCTCGTGGGTCCTGGGAGGCAAAGGGATGGTCTCAGTGCAGAGAGAAGAACTACGCTGGCCATCACTCCTGTTCTCAGCCGCCCCTCGCTGGCAGCTTGGAGCTGAGGGAGGATCACACTAAGGAGCTCCCTTAAAAAGAGACAGGGCCTTTCTGGGAGCAGAGGAATCTGGGCTCAAAGGGCAGATTGACAGTCTCCTTGTCTTTTCTCAGAGTGCCTGATTAGGATCTCCTCTTTCTTCTCCCAGACTGCTGCACAGAGGGATCATTGCAGCTGCCCAGAGCATTTCTATGGCTCTACCATCGAGGTGTCCTCTCCATGGGGATCCCAGACAGCACAGAGATACTATGGCAGAGCTGTGCCCTTCTGGAGGACACCCTGCAGGACACCCGGGGAAGCAGCTGAATGTCCTGAAGTTGCCTGGAGGGCACTTGGGCATTTTGCTCCCACAGACACATCCCCACAGCAGCACCCAAAGGGTTTGTGTCTGGACAGGAACCTGCCACCCCAAAGCCCCTGCACTGCCTGAGAAAAGCCAATGGTGAGAAGAAGAACAGCCCAGACAACAGGGGATGGCAGGGAAATGCCACAATGCGGCTGCCAAGGGAGGAGGGACACACAGAGAGAACATGGGGGCGTCGCGTGTGCCAGGGGGGGCGCGCGTGGGGGGGGGTGGGGGGGGTAGGGGGAAGGGGGGGGGGGGGAGGGGGGGGGGGAGGGGCGGGGGGGGGGGGGGGGCCGGGCTCTGCTGCTGCAGGGCAATGCACAGCCCAGGGGCCATGGCCTGAGGGCACAGGCTCTGCTTAGGCTGGGAAGGGAGCCCAGGGAGGAGCTGCTCAGGGAAGGGGTCTGTGCCACAGGGACAGCAGGGAGGGGCCCACATCCCCCTGCCCAGCACTTGTGGCAGCAGCTCCATGTCCCTGCCTACGTGTCTCTGGGTGAGGAGCTGTTCCTGCCAGCAGCCCCTCCCTGTGCCCAGCTCAGCTCCCTGCCAGTGCTGCCAGAGCCATGCCCAGCCCAGTGCCCAGGGGCAGCTCTGCCTGGGCAGGGGCTGCAGAGCAGATCCCAGACCCCTGCGGTGGCTGGGAAGGGGGAGGTGTTCTGGGGGGATGTGCTTCCTGAGAAGGGCCCCTGGAAATGGCAGGAGGTGGAGCTGAAGCTGTGAGGAGCCCTGACCCTGCAGCTGAAGGGCCCTGCCCTGCCCTGCCCAGCCCTGCCCTGCCCTGCCCTGCCCTGAGGGGTCACTCCTTCCACCCACCCCTTCTTCCCCAGCCCCGTGGCAGCTCCTTGGCCGGGCTGAGAGCTGCCCCTGGCAGGCAGCAGAGTCCCTACCCCAGCACACAGAGCCCTGGGGGCAGGACCCTGCTCTGCCCCACAGCCCTGGGCACCCCTGGCTGCACCCCCACCTTCCCACTCCACAGCCAGCCCTGGCACAGGGAACCTTCTTGCCCTGGGCCTCTGAGGGGGCAGCAGCAAGTCCTGCTCTGCAGCAGCTTCTCCTGCTGCACCCCAGGAAATCCAGCAGAGCCATCCTGGTAGCTCCTGCCACTGCTGGCATTTGGCAGCTGGGAGAGGCACTTACAGGAACTCCCCTGCACTGCTCTGCAGCCAGAGCCTGATCATGGCAAAGTGCTGGCAAGGTTCCTCCCCCGAGCAGCTCTGCCCTGTCCTCCCACCCCAGGATCCCTTGAACCTCCTGCTCCCTTCTCCTGTCTGCCCTTGCTGCCTGCAGCTCCTGCCCTGCTCTGCCATGTGGCCACTTCCCCTGCACTGCAGCAACTGGGAGAGTCCTGCTGAAAGATCCTAGAAGCTGTGGGATGTGGCAGCTTTAGGAGATCCCTCCAGGAAGGGAAGTTGAACTTTCCTGCAGCCAGAGAAATATTCATTCAAATCCTGTGAAGGTTTCTCCCACAGTGAGAGCTCAGTCCCCTCCCAGCCCAGGCTGCCTCTCATCTCTCTGCCTTCTCTCCTGTGCCCTGGGTGCTGCAGGCAGTGCCCTCAGCCCTGCTGGGCTGTGCAGAGGAGCTGCTCCTGGGCAGAGCTTGCCAGGAGCTCCCTGTGTGCCAGGAGCCCGGCCCAGCTCAGCAGCACAGCAACAGCCCCAGGCAGCACTTCTGCCCTTCAGGGATCCCTCCAAGTGTCCCTGGGGCTCCAGGGGACTCTGCTGGGACACAGCTGAAGGAAATAATGATGTTCCTTCTCTCAGCTGGGCACAGACACTTCTTTCAGCAGGGTCATTTCTCCAAACAGACACTGAGTTAAGTTCAAGAGTCCCCTTTTCATGTCCCATCATTAGACAGGAAACCCAGACAGTGCCCAGGAGGGATCTCCTTCACCCCCACTGAGGGAAGGGACTCAGCTGAGTCAACAGAGGTGTCTCCTTGTGGCTCTGCAGACCTGGGGCCAGAAGGACACTCAGCTCCCTCCACAGCTCCCATGGGGTGGGATTCCTCCTGCCCCAGTTCAGGGGGCCCAAAACAGGCACCTGCAGGTGACTCCTGTTGGGGCAGATGACACTGCAGAGATAAGAAATTATCTTAGCCAGAAACCATGGAATTGAAACACAGACAAGGAAAGCTTCTTTACATATACCACCTAATATTTTTATACTATCTTTTAATTAAGCAGACTTGCTGTCTCCACGAAAATCCTTTTACCACCTTGTGTACCACATCTCCTGTTGTAATTGTGATAAAGAAATAGCTGTTTATCTGTCTGAAGAAAAATATCTCCCTGCGCTTCCTGGACCCTCAACCTCAAATGTGAATACAATGTATGTCCCCCCTTCCCTGAACCCTGTATATAGCTAGAGTTGTGTCAAACAAAGGATTCAGCTTTGTATCCACAAAGTGGATCATGCAATTATTTAAACCGTCTTAGACTCCTTGTCCCATCTCCCGTGGGAATGAATGAAGACCAAAGCCAGGAGTGACCTGCTGGGACACAAAGCCCTGGTCACTTCTGAGGGGCCAGAGGTGACCGAGATTCCTGCTGGGAACTGCAGGCTCCAATGGAGCAGTTCCTAGGGACAGGGCAGCAGCTGTGGGATCTTCTTGGAGGCTGCTGGGACATTGCTTTGGCCAACTTCAGTGGCAGAAGGGGCTCACATGTAGGACAGGGGAACCTGTCACTGTTCCTCCTGTCCAGGGCAGCCCACAGAGGTGCTCAGCTGAGCAAATGCAGGGAGGGAGGTCTCTCTCCTGTTCTTTATCAGGGTATTTTCTACACATCCTTAGAGTACAATGGCAGTTGTCTCCTGGACATCCCTTCCTTGCTGAACATAATTCAGGGCAGCTGAACCTGAATTTCGTACCCAAAGTGGGGCCTGTAGTGCCAGGGGAGGTGCCAGGGCTCTGCAGCACAAGTGCAGCAGCTGCCATGGACAGCACAGGGCCTGTGCAGGGACCCCGTCCCCATTCCCAGCAGTTGTGGGACAGGCACCACCCAGGGCTCCTCAGACACATTGGGGGCCTTTGGGGCAGGGAGTGAATCCCAGCCCTGCAGGGACATAAGGTCTGGCCCTTCTCTATCCAGCTGGTGCTGGGCAGTTCCTGAATACAAAGCTGTGGTGGTTTGGGCTGGGCCTTCCTTGGTGACCAGTTTGTAACCAAGGAAGGGTCCAGATTTACCCAGTATTCCCTACGATTTTTACATAAACCAGATTATAAGAAGAAAGGAGGAGAGGCCTTGGCTCTTTCCTTCCAGCTTTGGAGGTGCAGGTTCCCTGCTGTTGATCTGCCGTGTTGGGGA